GCCGACGGTCGTGGGTACTGTCACCGCCTGGGAACAATCCGTGTCGATGACATTGCTCTTTTCGTCGAGCCTCGGTGACGTTGCAGTCGTCGGCGTTTCGTTGTTGGCGATCGCCGAGTCTTTAACGATATCAGCAGGGCCACACTGCGCGGGTCCTCTGCTGGAGGCGTCGAGACGTCGGCGCGTAGCGTGTCGCGGATGATGCTGATGACCGCGACGTCTCGTGGTCGATGCAAAAGCTGGCTCCATGCTACGGTAACCAGCTGCCAACCCTTTAACAATCCCCTTTGTTCCACTATTTTTTTTTAACGTGCTCCACGCACCACCGTTACTACCACCGCACAAGGCACACCGCCATCTTGTCTGTCACTGTTCGTAACACGTTTCTCACCGCGCCACGCATACGTCCTTCTGTCTGTCTTTCCGTGTGTTGCACGCACACACACCGTGCCGCGCTACGAAACGCATGCACGAGAGGAGACACGCTACTCTCCGCTCTCTGCACCGTCCTGCTCTGATTTCTATCTTGCTTTCTCTCTCTCTATCCTCGTCTATCGTACTGTTCGCGATTCAGGTTACCCCCACCACCGCCTGATAGGACACGGAGCCGAAGTTTGCCGAGAACAGCCGAACGACGAAGCGGCAGCTTCGCGTACTAACGCTCGACTGTGCGCTCACTTCGCGGGGAATGCACTTGTTCCGCGCGGCGCGCATGCGCAGACGATCACCGCGACATCTCGCGGTCGGTAAACGACATTTTACCGTCGGTAACAATATCGTAACTGATAAGAGTTTCGCGCCTATTCGGAAATAACTTTATCTTGTCAATATTTTTACTCTTCCGTCTTAGAATACTTGTTCGCTGAATCATCATTCTTAGTTCAGACTGCAAATTATGTGACAAGTTCGGACTTCAAATTTGATAAGAGTTATCGACGGTTGATGAATAAATTGTTAACGATAATTGAATACGTTAATTAACTTACGTTCTGTAACGCTTTGTCCTTCTCCTCGAGCTTAGCATTGACCTGCATGAGGGCCTCCTGAGTTTGATCGAGTTCATTCTCGATGGTCTGGATCTTCTTTTGCAGAGCACGAGCCTCTTCCTCCGCCTTTACGAAAAGAACAATTTTTTATGTCAATTATATTCTCTACTTTGTAGGAAACTACCAGAATATGTATTTTTGAATTTCATGCCTACACCAAAACTCCAGATCTATAATTACATTTTTTGAACGATCGCCAACCCTACATTGAATTTTTATTACGACCCCGTTATTTCATCGCTATTTTTATTCTCTTTCTAGAAGAAACGTTGCCTGTTTTTTTATTTATCAGTTCGTCTAAAAGAAGCTGCCTGATTCATACAGATTTTAACCTATACCAATGACCCAATTCAAACAAACAGATAATTTTGTTAGAACGTTTTTCTTTATTCATCAAAGCAAACTTTCCGAATTTGCTGTTCGAATGCAAATTATCGATTAGCTTGTATCCAATCAGCATAATGGACCTAAATCCTTTGAAATTCATCCAATTACCTTTTCAGCTCGCGCATTCGCATCTCGGGCTTGCTGTTCGCAGAGCAACGCGCGATCCATCGCGTTGTCCTTCTCCAGCTTCATGCCCTGCATCTTCTTCTTGATCGCGTCCATGGCTGCGGTTCTGTTCGTTCACTCGTTCACGAGAGAAAAAAGGAAATCGTGCCTGCAACAATAACCGCATAATATTTCCTATCGTTCTTCTCATACGATCTTCATCGACGAATTGTACTTTTTAATTTTTTTTCACGATCCACGGAATGCGACCAATTCTCAAGGAAGCGTTTGACAATGGCCGTGAGACCGAAACCGTGTACGCAATTAACCGCGACCTATGTTAATCGTTATTTGTTTTTTTCTTTGCGTGCCATTTCCTAGAGGCGATAATTGCCGTGGAAATTCCGTGGATCGTACGGAAGGATCCGTGCGAGTTCCCTATGCGGACAGCATGCATCGAAGTATAATTAGCGAACGACCGGATATCCTATTTATAGAGGCAGGTTCTTGCTCAAGATGGCCCGGGCTCTGTGCCCCTGTCCGTATATATAAAATCAAACGTCTTTGCTCGCGCTTCTCTTCCTCTCTCGTGACGTCACGCTCAGGTATGCGATCCTCCAGGACGAACCGAGCGAAACGAAAGGATCCTTCGTTTTATGCGCTCGTTTCACTGCGCCGCGATACGGCGAGAAGCAGGATAGCCAACGGGTTAATTTTCTTCGGGGTAACATTCTTTGGTCTTCAACTTAGGCGAGGTTCATTCTTTAGCATTCTATTTGTGGAAATAAAAGAAACCTTTTCTTTCGACGACTTGATCGAGGTCGCAGTGAACCGAGTTTGCTACAAATAGCCGATTTGTAGACACGAAAAGTCTGACACGATTCGATGACATAAAAATGGGAGTTGTATCAACTTGAAACTTGAGGTCTGATGAAAATGGCTACATAAGTTCATTCATGTTTCTGATATAAATAGCTGATCGTCACAGTACGATGTACTAGTGTGAAATTTATGAAATATGAAACTTAATACGAGATTTAGACGAAATATACATCTAGCGAGCACACAATGATGAAAAAAATTTCTAGTTGATGACCTTGAGAATTATAGACTTTTAGTGGTTTTAATTTAATATTGAACAATGTTGCAGATATCGAGGAGTTGTGAACAATTCGATTCGTTTGCAACAATCTAATAATATCCGTGGCATCTGCATCCGTGCCGTTGCTAACCAATGCTCACGATTTCTGACTCGCTGGTAATCAGAGATGGTAAGCAAGCAACGAAAGTACAAAGGAATTCCAACGAGTTCGAAGAAACAGAAATTCTAGACACAATGTTACAAAGAAACTGAACTCGTATTATCAGTTTCCTCCCTCGATAACTTCCAAATTATCTGCACAGAATTAATACTTCAAATTGTACAATTGCTATGTACAATTGTCTACTGAATTATTTCACAAAAGATGGGAGGTACAAAATTTTATTTTCCTCCAAATAAATTTTAGGATGTGTTTTATTTTTAAATAGTTGAGGGAGTGACGATGGAAAATATCGGAGCTATGGAAAATCACGGATTACGAGGTCGAAATAGCGTTGGTTGAAAAATAAGCTGTCGGAGTCGCGCGTATCAGAAGAGGGTTATTTTTACTCGCAAGCGGAGAGGGTGGTATCGTCGCTAGCCGACTGCCGAACCTTTTCGGGTTACGCGTAGCAGAGATTCGTTACTCCATTCGGATTGGTGTCTTGTTACGCTCGAAAGAAAATTCTCCCTCTCTGCGAACAGATATCTTTAAAATTCTGTACATTTTTATGCAATATCTTTGAAACGGGGTGAATTGGACCATTCATGACTTTCGTGCATAACAATAGACGAACATGGCAGACACCATGGGGAAAATGGCGACACTGATACACTCGCTACAGAATTTATATCAAATTTTCACGAGTTTCAGTGATTAAAGTCAATGACTTATTTAGCAAAACGAGTAATTTAATGATGTGTTATGAATCTAGAGTATAAATCTTGACATCATGATTTTTCCTAAGAAACTCTGTTTTATACCGTTCCACACTAAAACTATAAAATCTACCAGCTCCATAGACCCAAAGACTTTGTAGACAAAGTATGTATACTCCGAAAATTAAATTTCCATAGCGCAGAAGATAAGATACGCCTAATTGTTCTTCACGTCCTTCACGAAGTACAAATAGTAATGGTACAAAGTCTCTAGGATGCCCGATACTTTGCAAACAACGATACCGCGACGTTTTCGATTCGTTTGCCCGGGGAATCAGTTATCAGCCAGCATTCGGAATAACAGACTACGGTATTTTACCGTGGCTGTAACAGAAATTCCTCTCGTCTACGTAGCGAGGCAAAGAGATCGGCAGTCTGGGACAATGTTGTCACAGCGGTTACGCGTGAATGCTTGAAATTTTTCATGACTCATAACTTTTCTGAGGGTATCGCTGTGCCTGTGATTACTCGACGAAGCGCTGCGGGCCTGTCCTTGCGAAACGATCGTCGAAATTCGCACAACAGGTCGAGTCGTTTTTCAAATGCGCCATTCTGGAATGCGGCCGGTTTCGACAAACTACTGTAAAACAAGAAACTGGGGACGGAGAACAACTCTGGCAAATAAAAAGTTGTCTACGATATCAGAATGCAGTTTCGATCATCGTAAATTTGTGGTACTTAAGAAAGAGGACTGTCAAAAATCTTGAGATTACAGCTAGGAATGAAAATTGAGACATTTAAGTCTTTAAGGAAATGCCTCTAACGATCCTACCAATTAAAAATAGATTACACGGTTGCGATAGAAGAAATTCTTCAGCTTTCATAAGTTATCTTGATCTCCGAGGCAAATACTAGTTTACGAGATCAACGAGGAACAGTTCCGACAATAATGACTACCTACAACGATATGCATTTAAGTTTGCATCCGAACCCTTGCTATTAATTTAAACTGGATCAAGTCTGAGATTGCAGCAGGAATCTCAACGAGAATTTACAACCGATGGAATATGTAAATTGAGTCTTTAAAATAGTTAAGGTGATCTTATCAGCTAGTGATCAAATCTGAGACTGCAGAAAGTTCAAAGTAAATTCTCGTGTACTTCAAAGACCAAGTAGACCAAATTGATGGCTGAGTGAGCAATTAAATTTTAAAACTCAAGGAACTGATGACCAGAATCAGATTTTTGAGGCTGTAGAAAGGCTTGGTGGTAGATTCTAGTTCAGAGCTCAAGTGGAACGCAAAGAGATTCAACGATAATGACTGCTAATATCAAATATGCAAATTTCCACGCTCAGCAAAGAGGAACAGAAGCTTGCGAGCGTAGAAACAGTTCGAATTTACCAGTTGTCCAAGTCCAAGTTTCCGGGGGAAAAGTCCAAAAGGAATCCTCTTCACTTTCCACGCTAAAACACGTCTTCACGTCACTTTTCTTCATTCACTCGTGAAGTCACCTCTGGGGCACGAGCAAGAACAGTGGACTCGACCGAGTGAGACAGTTAAAAAAAAAGAGGAATGCACATGTTTACTCACGGGGTAAGTATTCAGGTTCGTTCGTCGTCCGGGATGCGTTTGACTCGCTGGCTAAGTCTTGACTGGTCGGCTGAAAGCTTCGGTTACAGGCGTTCGAGGCTCCCACCTTTTCGCAGCTCGCGATCGTAAAAGACGACGATGACGTTGTGGCAGGACGCGATTCTCTCTCTCTACCCCATCCCTACCATCGGTGCCCCGATCAGACTTTTCTACGTACGGGCCTGTGAAAACGTACACCGTCGCGGAATTTATCTTTAGAATCGGCGACGCTTCGACGACGATTAACAGGACCCGGTTATTTTCACGTCCTCTGGAGATCTGGCGAATCTGGGAGAAACAATGGGGTCTTCTGTGGCTCCATTCTTGGGATCGGAACATCTGGTGGGAGGTTCCGATGGCTGCAAGAGATTTGAACATCCATGATTCATATGGAGAATGGAGCTTTGGAAAGCTTTGCAAAGCTTAGCTCTATAAATCTACTCTTATAGTATGGATTGTAAAATTAATAAAGTACCAGTCTGATTGTGATTCATGTTCAATATTGAAATTAGTAAACCTTTCCTATTTACACGTT